TATATATGGATCCACTATGGATCCACTCCCTACAGTCTCCTGTTTGTTTGAAAGTCAACAGGAGTTCTTTTGTGCTCGCTGCCTTAAACATTTGACAATAAATAGTTTAGATTTGAAATATATTCTTGATAAAAATAAATACAAATGACAAACATTTCTACATCTCCTTTGTTATAGGCATTTTGAGGCTCCTGTGTGTGTGTGTACATATATATGTACATACATATATATGTGTATATATGTATATGTGTATTTATACTTATGTTTATATATTTATGTATATATGTACATATATGTACGTGTATATGTACATATATGTATCTATATATGTACATATAGATTTATATGTACATACATATATATGTGTATATATGTATATGTGTATTTATACTTATGTTTATATATTTATGTATATATGTACATATATGTACGTGTATATGTACATATATATTTACATGTATATATGTATTTATTTAAGTATGTATGTATATATTATATATGTATATTTGTTCATATTCCTGTGTTGGATATAACTAACGTGTGAGCAAACCTTCAAATTGTGTCAGTTACAATTTTTAACTTGGATTTCTGCTTTTAAAAGGACTCTTTTAGTCTAAACATTACTTCCAGGTTATATATGACAGAGTGACACTAGTGGGCACTTCATATGTGAATCAGCAGCAGTGGACATTAAGGTTTGACTAGAGTGCACTCACTTTAATAAAATCTGTTCAAGCGGAGCTCTCAGGCTGCCGCCTAAACACGTGGACTGACTTTCGATTCTCCACTTTGAGAGCAGCAGCAGCAGGCAGCTCTGAGGCTGAAAACACAAACTGCTTCTGTTGACCTGTTTATCACTTAGGAAGCACGGAGGGCTGTGGGCTCATTCTGCAGGAGCTGAAAACACACCTATACATCCATTCTTCCGTCCCTCCGTCTCTCACTGTCCGTTTCCCTCTGCCCCCTCCCCTCCTCCTCCCCCACCACCAGGCCTGAGATTTAAAAGAATATTTTAGTGGCAAGTTGTCAAACACAACTTGGCCCACCGGAGCGAGTCAATGCGGCGATCATGGCAGCTCAGACCTCCGTGCACATTAGCAGCACGAAGCAGAGCGATGGATTTCTGCCGCCCGCCGCCTCCTCCGAGGGTTGGGTGTGTGATGGCAGGGACATGAGTCGTGCCGCGCTGATTTACGTGTAAGTGTTAGGAGAAGGGGGTTTGGGGAGAGTGAGTCTAATGGAGCTCAGGAGTGCCCAGTCATGCACTTGGGTGGGTGAGGTGGGGGCTGACGACGGGGCTTTAAAGTGTCTTCAGTCGGCCCCGGGTACCACACATACACCGATGCACACTTTGTGTAAAAGGAGAAATAAATAAATCCCGTGTTGGTGCAGCAGCCGCAGCGTTCAGGCTTCCTGCCAGCAGCGTTACGCAGAATGCAATTGCCTGGTTCCTGCAAATCAAAGTCAAATATATTTACAGAGTCTTTTTTCCCCCAAACAGACGGTTTGTTGACACTGTTACATATAGAGATAGAAGATATAGAAAAGTCTGTCACAGCCAGCAGTGGGAGAAAACACAGGATGGTGACGGGGAACGCCAACACGCAGCTGTGATTTTCTCTTCACATGAGCCTGTCTGTCTATTTGTGTATGAGTGATCACCAGGGAACATGTCTGTGTGTAACAAACACACACACACACACACACGAGGAGATATAACCAGACCAATAACCTTGGTGAAGTAGCAGTGGATGAAACCGTCCGGCTGTGACGACAGGAAGAATATGAATTTTTAAGCTGAAGTCCTTTAAGAGTCCCACTCCCTCGGATGTTTTCCTTTCACCTGTGCAGCGCCGCGTTCTCAACAAATGGCTGCTGCTCCCTCTGTGTCTCTGTAACAGGATTAGCAGGAGAAGATCGATGAAAACAGGATCCAGAACAAAACAGATTTAATGGGTGAAAACTCACATGTGAACCACCTCGTTCTGTGGTCTGTAGTACGACTCCTGAAACACAGTTAGCAATGTTGGACAGCAAAGAGAAACATCTAGGCCACAGGTGTCAAACTAAGGCATGTGGGACAGATCTGGCCCCTGGTGTAATTATATTTGGCCCGCGGGATCATATCAAAGGTGTATTAGAGCTGGCCCGTCAAAATATATCTACTGTATACTGGAGGGAGTGGTAGTATTAGCAACGTACGCACGATGTTATAGCATAAACATTTATAGAAAGGAACTCCACAGATAAAGACAAACACCACTGATGTGTTTCATTTCCAATTCAATTTCTCGTGTGTTTATTACATTAAACTTTGGTTTTTCCAGATTTAATGTTTATGCAAAACTAAAGTTTGTTTCCACATGAAAAAGAAATCAACATTACAGATCTGGAGAGAAGGGAAAACATGTTTCAATAAAGAGTCACAGGTTGCAGACCCCAGGTCAAGTCTTAGGACTGGAGACTAAAACGAAAGGTCAAATAGGTCAAAGTTAGTGACGTGAAAAAAAAACATTAAAGTTTGAAACGAGATTTATGAGTTAATGAGTTTAAAGATACAAATCTGATTTAATAGACCTTTACTACATAATTAGAAAGTCAGTTGGAGTTGGTTCAAGGTGAGGGTGAGGGTCAGGCTTAGGGTCAGAGTAAAGATTGGCGTGAGTGAGTGGGTGAGGAACATTAGCGCCACAGATGTGTGACATCACTGCTGTAGCATGATCACAGAAACATCCCTTTTTCTCCCACACAGACTTATTCAGACCCACAATGCACTGCTTCCCCGACATATTTCCTCCATCTGTTGTCACCCCAATTCCTTAATCAGCTCAATTAAGGAACGCCTTCGTACTCAATTTCCACAACAGTTAACGCTGCTCGCACCGAGCCGTCAGGCGGCTGATTAGTGGCTTTGAGGAACCTGGAGATCCAAATAACTGTTTGACACAGAGAGGAAGAGGAGGAGGAGGAGGAGGGAGGGGGAAGAGGAGGAGCAGGGTTAGAAAATGAGGGGAAATCATCACAAGAGCAGTGGATAATTTCAACATCCTCCACCACCTCAGCCAGAGCGTGAGGCCATTGTGAGGCAGGTTGATTATCACATACAACTCAAATGTCTGCATAGAAATGTTTCATTTGGGAAACGAGAAGCGGAGAAGGTGGTGAAGGCAGGAGTAAATTTAAGAAAATTAAAGAGTTGTACAACTGGAGTGGATGAAATTTGTCTCCCACCGCGTTTGTCCGGTAGTGGCCCAATGTACCTTTCTGTCAGAGGAGGAGGAGGAGGAGGAGGAGGAGGAAGAGGGAATGAAACAGAGTGGGAAATGAGACGGAGGTAAAACTCAAGAAGACGAACGTGTCTTTTGTTGTCCTCGGGTTTGATGTTCTCCAATGTCCATTTACAAAATTTACGAAAACCAAATGAAACGTTCTACCACTCATATTCATATGTCTGGTTTAGTTTTAATGGACTTTTCTGTTGTTTCCTGCTTTTCACAAACAAAAAAAGGTTCAAACATTGTTTGGTCACTTCTCAAGTGGACATTCTTTACCTGAAGCCGTTCCTGTTGGATTGGACAATAAAATCATCACATTGATTTTTTATATATACATATATATGTATATATATATATATATGTGTGTGTGTATATTTATATATATATTTATATATATACAGTATGTATATATAAATATATATGTTTATATATGTGTATGTTCATATATATTCATGTGTTTTAAATAAATATTAACATTATTAGCTTTTTTTAAATGTACCAAATTTTCTGGTAACAGGTTTTTTTTCTGATAATAATAATCATATATATGTCTGACGCTGTGTCGTTTTCCTCTTCTTGCAGCAATGGTACAGCAGCTGCATGAAGGCTGTGTGCATCTGGTTGACTGACCGACTGGACCTGCAGCTCCACATGTACCAGCTGAAAACACTCATCAAGATTGTCAAGGTAAAAAGAAGGATTTTTTTAATTTTTTGATTCAAATAGCCTGGCCTGTACTTTCAGAACGTCTCCTGTGCTGTTTGAAAAGATCAGCTGGTGATTATTCTGACACTCATTCATAAAAAAAAAAACAAAAACCAAAGGAAATTAACATTTCAAAAAAGAAAAGAAAAAGCAAATCCCAGCATGGATGGCACTGTGTCCTTGAAGGAAACGTCAGTGGTCAGACAGTTAGGGGAAAATGACTCCGACTGTGCTTTTACCAGGGGTGTAAAAAAATGATCAAAACACTAAAATACTGCCACGTTTTGTTTAACGATACCGTATTTGCTATTCTACAGCAGTGTGTGGATATTTCATGAACAAATATCATGAAAATATTTATGGCGTTGGTTCATGTTTGTGCTGCATTCGAACCTCCAGTCACGAGTTGATTGTACAGGGACAGAGACTCTGAGTCAAACACATTTTATTTCTTTATCCAAATAATCCTGATGTTAAAACGTACAGTTTTCTTACAGTTAAATTGTTCACAATAACTCCATTTATCATCGTGCCTGTAGTATCGCAGTACATCCATATGTATCGTCTCGTTGTCCCTGTATCGTGATACGTATCGTATCACCAGACTCCTGCCAACACACACCCCCGGCTGTCACTGCCTTTGTCTTTTCTTCAGTGTTTACTGATGAACGCAGTACAACTGGGAATTAAAAATGGCTTCTTACTGAAAAAAAAAAAAAATCAACTCTCAGACACCTCCGTCCGTCCACCCTCTCAGGCCAACACATAAAAGACTCAGTGTGTCCTTGGCCTCGTCCGTCCTGCTTTTGTCCTCCAGTACGGCGAAGAGCTTCAGCTCAGCTGCATTCCTCAGACGCTCTCTGTTTTTACCTCCACTCTCCTTTCTCCCCCTTCCTCCCCGCTCTCTCCCTCCTCCTGCACCTTCATCAGAAGACCTACCGTGACTTCAGACTGCAGGGTGTGCTGGACAGCACTCTGAACAACAAGAGCTACGAGACCGTCTACAACCGTCTGACGGTGGAGGAGGCCACGACTGCCGTCAAGGCAGGAGACAGTCTGCAGGGCATCAGCATGAGAGACAGCGACGAGGAGGAGGACTGAACACACACACACACGCACACAGATATATGTACACACACTTTTAGAACTCCGCTGTCGTCGCCATCATGTCAGGATTTTCTGTTACTCTCTGGACAAATTTGTCCAAGACTAACACTGAGACACTGCTGGACAGAATCACTGAACAGGTTCAAACTAGACCGAGGCTGAGAGAATATCATTGGTCACTTAGACTTAAGGATATGATCATTAAAAAAAGGAGAAACTGAACAAAGATTTAAATTGATTATCATTTAGCATTAGCATCATCTATTAGCATCAAACACTCAAAGCAAATTTGGTTGAGAAAACCCATCAGTTCTGTTGTTCGTTTTCTACCTAAAGAAACACTAACCAGACATTTTCTCCGATTGTTTGTAAACATGGAGCGTGTAACTTCCTTTCAACTCGCAGAAGGGGATACTATAAAAACAAAAAGTTAAATCGTTAAATCTAACCACCTTATTCAGCCAAAAACCAGAGAAATACAGTGGTCCCTCGTCTATTGCGCAGGTTATGGTCCAAGACCGCCCGCGATAAACGGAAATCCGTGAAGTAGAGTACGTTTTTTTTACGTATATATTAACTCTTTACGAACCCTTTAGGTCGGATCGTAGGGTGTCTTTTAATGATCGTATCAGAACTGAGTCGGTATCAACTGCAGTCTTTCCCTCAGAGTCCATGGTCTTTATTGATAAAAAAAAATCCCATTTAGGACAAAACAGAAGGTAAAACATGACAGTTGACGAGTGGACGCTGTGTGTGATTGACAGCTGGACTGTCTGGTGTTTTTGTAAACACAGTTTGTATCTCACAGCTTCAGAACCAGAACCCGACCCCAGTCACTTACATCAGTGATTCCCAACCTCTGTGTGTGCCACGGAAAATGATCCAATTTCACTTAATTCGCCTAAAAAACTATTATTTATTTATTGCAAATATTGTTTCTTTGTTTGTCAGTGCGTGACAGGCAGAACAGTTATATCCTCTTCTGCTAGGTGGCAGCAGATGGTTATTACAACTAAAAAAAAAAGATCATGTTGAAGAAGATCTTTGTGTCTTTCTTCAATTCCTGCCAGTGTATCAGCGTTGTCTTCAACTAAACAGGAGTACATTTTTTAGTAAATTTAAATTAGAAGAGTATTATATTTTCGGTGAGATTTTTGTCCAGTGGTGTACCGTGGCTCAAAATAGGTTGGGAAACACTGGTTTACATTAAACAGGACCAGGTCTGTTAGAACACAACTTCCTGTCCTACAGTACATGAAGTTTGGCAACCTGAGGTTGAGCCTCCACCACTCAGCCATCCTGACTGGTTTAGCTCCAGTGACTGACTGGTGATATTTGATTGGACATCATTTAATTACATCTGGACCAGTTTCCTCGTTAGCACAAACATTTTTAGATGTCGTATCTCTGCAGCGGAATAATTATGGAAACAGTGGTTTGAACTGAACGTGAACTGAACCAAGATTATCTCCAGCAGTTAATTAGCTGGCTAACATTGTTTTGGCATCTGAAATCAAATACCACAAGACAGCTGTTTCACACAAGGTCAGAATAAATAAAGTCGCACAAATCAAACACAAGAGGCAGCTTTTTAACTCAGCTAAAACGCTAACTGCTAACGGCGCTGTTTAAATTTAGAGTGGAGGAATTATTTGTTGGGCTTTTATTTGGCTAATTCATGCTCCAATGTTTCACTGCTTTGGTTGTTACAGTTCCTGAGCCGTGATTGGTTGGTTTGGTCTCAACGTCCAAATGTACTTTTTTTGTCGACGACGACTCAACACTCAAATTTAAAGAAGTCACACGACCCATTAGCCACCGGATAAAATGTCTGTTCTGTTCTAAGATCAGCGACCTGCACTTTTAGTAACATGAGAATTATTTTATACATATTTTCTCCAGATCCAGGGTCTCAAAGTCCATTGGGCCGGGGGCCGGGGGCCACTACTGCCACCGCCGCCCTTTCATTGTAGCACTGCATCTGATACTTTAGAAGAAAGAGTTTTAATTTCATATAAATACAGTGTGTACTAGAGTTCAAATTGTTTTTCCTCATTTTTAAAAGAGCAGCTAAAGCATTTAAAAAATATTGGAAATATTTTTTGGAGGAAAAAATGAAATTAAAATTAATTAAATTGATCTAGTCACAGGCCAAATGTGGTGGGATTGCGGGCCAGAAGTGGCCCCCAGGCCAGTATTTTGTGGTTTCTAAACATAGGCTTCATTGAAGAACATTGTATTTTTTTATTCATACACAGAAACCATGTTCAACATATTTTGAAAAGGTTTTTTGTTTTATTCTTCTTGATGTCTCACCCATGTCTCTTCGGTGAAGTCGTCTGTCATGAATCTCTGACATTTACATTTTTTTTTTTTAATAGTTTCTTTAATCCCCTCAAAGCTTTACGGTCACTGTAGCCTAGTATTACACTGTACTCTCACCTCCATCTTTACTGTGGGGCTGGTGTTCTTTGGGTCACATGTCTGTCCCTAAGAAAGAAACATATCAATGGTCAAACGTTTTGTGTCACCTGAGCAAAAAAAAATGTTTCTATGAGTAACATTGTTGTACTTGACCCCAGTCTGACCTCAGTCTGACCTCAGTCTGACCTCAGTCTGACCTAGAGGTGTTTCTTTGGCAGCAGCAAACATTTTTCTTGGTCACAAACTAGGAGTCGATCTCTGTGGCCCACTTTATGGACACCTTAATTCGGACCAAAAAAAAAAAAAAACAATTCTAAGAATTCTATCGTTATTGTATTTCCTTGTTTAAATTCTCAACTTCTTGTTAACTGGTGGACTTCTGTCATCACTGACGATGACGTAATAACGGCCAGAGCTTTGGAGACGCTTTTCACTGCTGTCTTCACGTATAACGTAACGGCTTTGACTTTGACTGAATCACGGATTTTGCACTGTTCTGATTGTTTGCCGTTGAGGTTGACAGTTCTCAGCGGAATGTTCAAAGAGACACGTGTTTTCAAACACAAGCTGACGTAGCGCCGCGTGTACGCAGCTTCCTTAACTGCACCTGACGTACCGAGAAAAGACTTCCGGTTCAGATCACGATGGTCTGGGAAAACGTCCTGTGACTGACGGTGGTCGAGCAAAAGAAAAAAAACAAAAAAACAAAAACAAACACGTGGTCGTAGTCGTAGATCTGCCGTCATCATTGTGTCAATCACTGTCGTGAAGAATCCTATTGAGCTGTAGACTGTGGTTCACGGTCCCACCGCGGACCACATGGACCTGGACGTTTGGTCGGCTTTACTGACCTCTGTGTGTGTGTGTGTCACTGTGTGTGTGTGTGTGTGTGTGTGTCAGTGTCCCGCCCACTCTGTGTCAGTGCAGTTGAACTAAGTTAAAGGCTCAAAACTAAAGTATATTTCTATTGTCTGATTGTGCACCTGTTTTGTTCAGGTGTTTTATCTAAGTGTCCGAAATAAAAGTGTTTTTAAATCACCTGTGATTTCACACTTATATATGTATATAATTAGTGTAATATTTGACTTTTTAATAAACTCCTTTAAAATTAGATTTTTTTTTATCTTTGTTGTGTTTTAAAACCTGACAGAGGTTTTGAATGAAAATTGAACGTTTTCATTTATTTTTGACAAACATTGTCCTGTTATTGTTGTATTTCCACTGACATGTTACAGTAACCATTTAACTGCCAGCCTTTAAATTAACCCGTGAACTGTAGTTTCCTCTGCCTTTTAGCGAAGACTAAACTGGATCATCTGAGTTTTTGGACACTTCTGAAATAACAAGCCTTAAAATAGGAATAAAACCCAGTTTGTTGTGTGTGCTGCAGCAGCCCAGCTCCACATTCTCCCACCTGAGTTTTTAAAATTCATGATTCGTGTTAAAATTCACAAATTGATGATTATATTAACATTTCAGCAGTAAAAAAAATGTAGTTGTTTCTAATTGTTCTGTTTTATTTCTAACTACATCTATAGATTTCTAAATATTAAACAAACTCCTACTAAAGAGTTTTTTTTTCAATATATTTAGACAACAGTCTACAGGCACAGATGACAACGGTTCCAGTAAGAAGTGAAGTATTTTAAAATGAGTACTGAGTTGAACACAGCTCCCTTAATTGAAAGAAAAAATCACTTTAAAAATACTGCATCAAATAGTGTCAACGTCACTGCTTTTCAATGTGTTTTTTAAATAAAATATGAATAAAACTGTACAGTGACGATGACGAAATATGGATAAAAGGCCAAAAAACGAAATCATCATTGAAACCAACTCTGATTGTGTTATAAATCAGAGTCGGTTCCATGTAAAGAACATTATAAATATATTTTTAATAATAATAATTATTCGCTTTGGCTAAATTAATGCATAAATGCAATCTAATGTAAATGTAGAGGTAGAATTATTTAATATAATAAATACAATTATGTTCATATCATTGTCCCATTAAAACTATATCTTTTATTTTATCATATAACACGTTATGAAAATACCCGTGTCATAAAAGGAATATTCTAAATATCGCAACAAAAAATAAAAATCTTTCTTATTGATTGATATTTACTGCTGTTCACTTTTTTATAAATCATTAAATTGGTTTTCTGGTCCAAAAATGACCATTAAAAATCATCTTAGTTTGTCATTTTTTAAAACGAACTCAGTGAATGGTTAAATTGGTCAATTCTATAAGGACATAGTTGTTTAACTGCTTCATAGTTACTCGTCAGTTACTCGTCAGTTACTCGTCAGTTACTCGTCAGTTAGTCGACTAAATGTCACGGTTAATTTGTCACCTCCCCAGTTTCGTTTGATTGATGTGAATTTGAGACCTTTTTATGTTTTTTCAATTTTTATTTTTTTCTGTTTTCACCGCGCGTTTTCGATGTATTTATATTTTATGAAAACAGTTTTAATCAGTCGACTGATTGACGCCGCTGTTTTTCTCCTTTCATTTATTTATTTACAATTACATGTGACTTAATACATGCCTTCATAGAAAAGAGTAATTATTTTTACTTAATATGTTTTAATTGTTGTTTAATTACAACGTGTTATTATTATTAAATGTTTTGTTGTGGTTAACTTATTTAAGTCAAAACGAGTATAAATTAACACTTAAAAAAATATTATTTTTTTTTAATAATTCTTGTAGTAATTTCCCAGAAGAATTAACACGTAGGAGAAAAACAATAGTAAAAAAAAATACATAGTTAATAATAATAATAATATAATAATCGTTAGAATTTAAGTATAAAATGGCAAACTTTATTTATAACGTCAAATACATTTTAAAAATAAAATTATATTTATTTCGTGTTGTAATTATTCTACCGCTAATTGTATTTCGCGAGCAAAAATTGAATGTGAAAATTATTTTAAAATGTTTTAAATGTCATTCACGAAACGCCGCTCTTCACTGTTTCTTCCTTCAGGAGTGTGGCCACACCGACAGAACCACCGACGTCTCACTCTTTTTCTTTTTTTTCGTAGAAATGACTGTTTAAAATGACTATAAAATGAAGCACAAAATAATTGAAAATGCTGTTTGGGTTTTTCCCTGTGTTGTTTCCTACCATTTAATCTGTTGTCATTAGTCTTTTCAGTCACGGAGGGGGTTGGCACCGACAACTCTGCTGCGTAAAAATAAGGGAAAAAGAAAAAAGAAAAAAAAACTCGCGTGAGTTAAAGTGGAGTGAGAGCCAGAGCCCACACAGACTGAGATCAATGTCTTTAAGCTCATTTTCTGCTCACTCTTCTTCTCTGCTCTAAGTTGAGCCACACGACAGCAGCAACAGCAACAACAGCATCAGCAACAGCATCAGCAACAGCATCAGGCCAACGTCTTTTCTCCAAACCGTAAAAGAGCAGAGTTTGTTTTTTTTTTTTGTCTTCTGGAGCAAAGACCCGTCTGAGACTGAAGTAAAACTTTTGCAGCAGCAGCAGCAGCAGCAGCAGCAGCAGCAGTGACCCTGCGGCCGCCGCCTGGTTGGTGAACTCACATTCACAAAGAATGATGTCACATGAAAAAAGCCACAAGGAGACCTGGGATTTACCAAATACCTTCCAGTTGAGCAGGAGTCCTGCGAAGTAAAGGACAACCTCCTCTCCATCACCTCCTCCTCCGCCTCCGCCTCCTCCTCCTACACCACCTCTTCTCCCACCTCTTCCAGCGGCGAAAAGTGTTGAAAAATCGACGGAGGCGAATTGGAGCAAATTATCCACTTTTCCGCCCGCATTGCTGAGACGCAACGATCGTCGAGGTCTCGGCTTCACCGCACGCCGTTATCGAGCGATCCGCAGCCGCCGTCCTTCTTCCGTCAATAAGCCGTGCTTCGGAGGGAGGCTTCCCCAGCACATGATGCCCTCTCCCGCGGGCCGGTAAGGAGCAGCCTCCTCCTCCCTCCTTCCCTCCCTCTCTTCAGCCTCCGGCTCCCGTCCAACAGTTCCTTGTCCTCGTTGTTGCTCCGCGGTTGATGCGGAGATGATGGACGGACCTCTCCGCCGCCCAGCGGGGATCCTCGGCTCCCCCCCGGCTTCTGGGAGCCAGCCCGCGGGCTCTGACATGATCAGCACCGGCGGAAGCAGCGCCACCAACAAGCCCCTCGCCTTCTCCATCGACCGGATTATGGCCAGGACTCCCGAACCCAGGTCGATACAGCTCCCCGGGTGGTTCCAGTCCACCCCCGTGGGGAAGCCCGACATGTGTCCGTCCTCCCTGCACTGTATGATCCCACTGGTGCCGCTGGGCTACGAACCGGGCCACAGGCTCAGCATCACCGGGCTGGACGCGGGACACTTGGACGCGTCCTCTGTCGCTGCCCCGGCAGACTTTTTAGGTTTCGGCTTGAACTGTAAGAACCAGCAGGAGGACCCGGCCGTGACCCACACCTCCGGTCAGTACAAACTCTTCAGACCTCGGGTCGTCAACCAATCCACTTTCCCCACGTTGGGCGCCGTGTGTTACCTGAACTGCAGCGGTGACGGCGGCGTGTGTCCACCGTCCACCGGGCTCGTCAACCTCCACCCGATGGCCTCGTATCTGTTCAGCGCCCGCCACAAAGCCTTCATGGCGGAGAAGAGCAAAGCGGGCCACCATCAGGCCGGGGAGCGGTACGGCGTGTCCGGCGTCCAGGCCTTCAAGGACCTGTCCCAGAGCCAGATCCAGCACTACATGAAGGAGCGGGACCAGATCCTCACCGACAAGATCTTTAAGGAGTCCGCGGGCGCCGCGGTTCGACTGAACGGGTCGTGTCCCGGAAACAAGCCCAAAGTTTTCACCTGTGAGGTCTGCGGAAAAGTGAGTTCTGGTCGAGATGAAACAGTCGGTACAAAATCGATAAACGGCTGAATTTAGAAAAAAACAAAACAAAACAAAACAAAAAACAAAGAGATTGGAATTAAATGAACGGGTCAACATTTTTTTATGTTAAAATGTTTAAATATTCTCCTAAAATTCCATTTCTTTTTTATTTTATTTCGTCAATTTCTCAGTCTTTTTGTATAAACTGTCATGTTTTGAATTGTTTAAAGAAAAACAAGCTAAAACTATTATAAATTATTATCTTAATTTGAACATTTTAAATATATTTTAAAATATATTACTTTGGTTATTTTATTGTCACAGTCAGCTGAAAGTAATGGACCAGTAAATGAGCCGATATGAATTATTACAATTCAGAGTTGTATAAATATAATAAATATAATGCACGTTTATTACAATAACAATAATAATAGTCATAATTATAATAATAACCACAACAATATTAATAATAATACGTGTTATTATCATTGCTATTATAACTTTATTATTATATTTTATTTAATCATAGTAATAATCATAACAATAACAACTATTAAGATTTATTTTTTATAGTAATTTTAATTATTGTTTCTACCTCAACTTTAATATTTTTACTCATAAAAGTTCAATCTCTGAGTCCGGTTTTAGTTGTTTAGAGTCAGTGTTGTTTTGATTATTGTGATTATTGTTGATGGTTATTATTGTTATTATTATTTGTAGTACTACTACTACTACTACCAGTATCAGTATTAGTAGTATTTTGATTGACGTTGTCTCTCCTCTGCTCAGGTGTTTAACGCTCACTACAACCTGACCCGCCACATGCCCGTGCACACAGGCGCGCGTCCGTTCGTGTGCAAAGTTTGCGGCAAAGGCTTCAGACAGGCGAGCACTCTGTGCAGACACAAGATCATCCACACTCAGGTACTGACGGCTGACGTCACAACACACCATGGAAATGTCATCGTTTCACATTTTCTTACTTGATGATAATCCATGTTTGTTGTTGTTGTTGTTGTTGTTGTTTATTTGGTTTATCAAATTGGTCTGGTGCCGATGGTATATTTGTATAAATACATAGAATTAAACTGAATTTTATTTATTAAGACAAAACGAATCTCAAAAATATTTTTATTTGATCAAAATTGACTTCACTGGAGTCCAATCCTGTTTTAAAAGGTTTTGCACAGCAGCGGGAAAACACTTGATGTTGCGTATTAGGAAATGATATTATAATGTTTCTGACTGCATTATACGTTTTTACAAAACACGGATTAACATTTAAAAACGAGGATTAACTTCTGGAAAACACTGGGAAATAAATAAGTGAAGAGAGGGAAAAATCACATTTTATAAATGTTTTATTTGATATTCTAAATCAGGAAGACCTCTCATGTCTGTGCCGCTGTCATTTTGATCAGATTTATGCAATTGATTATTATTTTATTCGATTATTTAAATAATCAAGGCAAAGAAAGAAATATTGGAAATGTGTGCTATGTAATTTCTTATTTTTTATTAACGTGGAAATTATTTAAAAAATAATATGCCTGTAAAAGAAAATCAAATTATTTTTTTATTAAATAAAATCCTGAAAAAATGTGACATATTAGTGCAGGTGAAAAGGTCCTGCAACTGTTTGACGTTCATTAAATTTTTTTTTTTTCAATTTTGTTAAGTAATTTCTGAATTTAAAATCCCTGTTTTTTTCTTGCAGGAAAAACCGCACAAGTGTAACCAGTGTGGGAAAGCCTTTAACCGCAGCTCCACCCTCAACACGCACTCACGCATCCACGCGGGATACAAGCCGTTTGTCTGCGAGTTCTGCGGCAAAGGGTTTCATCAGAAAGGTGGGTACGGTTTACATTCTATCCACGAAGACAGAGAAAAAAAACGACAATTATTAACAACTGAATCTACACGCTGTGTGTTATCGATTGAATAAATAATTAATAATCCT